ACGTCCAAAGAATCGTTCAGTAGTCGCATGGAATGCTTCCCTCTGGCTCACGGTAGTACACGTGTACTGTGAAAAATAAAATACAACACACCTGGCACTATGACAAAAAAACGAGAAGTAACACATACACACAGAAAGCAAAATTATAAAATTCACGCAAAGTCAGTGAACACTGAAAATTACAAACTTGCCAAATATAAATTGTTACTTGTCAATAATAAGCACTTGCTTCACAAATAGCCTATTTGAGATTTGGCAGACACAATATCGTCACCAACACCACGAACTGACACTCTCTGCATCACGTGTACAAAAAAAATTAAAAATTAAAATTTTCTTTTTTTGCACATATAAGCAGTTTGTATCATGACGTTTAACATGACGAAGTTAAAATTGCTGAAATCATCTAAAATATTATGTGAATTTTACTAGTGAATTTTCAAGAAAATGGTCAATTCTGGTATTTTTGGTTACCACGAAGTGACCCTGCACAGGGTGTCAGTTCGTGAAAACCAAAATGTACGTGTTTTCGCAGAGTGCGCGCATGCAATAGCATTAGTGAGTGTCAGTTCGTGAAAACCAAAATTAACGCGTTTTGGGAGAGTGCGCGCACGCATGCGCAGTGTGTGCGCGCACTCTCCCAAAACGCGTCAATTTTGGTTTTGACGAACTGACACTCACTAACGCTATTACATGCGCGCACTCTCCGAAAACACGTACATTTTGGTTTTCACGAACTTACACCCATCTTAATCATTTAATTGCTAATTAACTATGCAGATTTTCACAATATAACGTTTATAATTGAGTAGTTTAAGCATTTTTACGTTAAGTGATACCAAAACCTCTAAGATAGATGGATTATTTTACTGAGTAAATTCGTGTCAAACCTTTAAAAGCGTTTTTCTCCGATTTGTATTTCTGCAACGCTGATCACTGGGTGTCAGTTCGTGGTGTCGGTGACGATATGAGGGCGCTGTTTGATTACGGTAAAGTCTTTAGTATTTACCCAGACCAAATAGCGCCCTCCTAATGTTTCCACCACAACTCAACTAGGCTATAATACTGGAGACTCAACAGCCATCCCAAACGTGGCAGTCAACAACTATTTTTGTCGGGAGACAAGAGACCAGGCAACAAAACAACCCGCCATGCTTGCAAGAAGCCTTCGTTTAGTCAAGTAATCCACTTCACAAAGATTTTAAAGGTGGATAAATATCGTTACGCAATGAATGAGGCGTGCCTTGAAATTCAAGTGTTCATATAAATGGCACTTTCCTTTTATAAATTTAAGCAAGTAAACGGTTTGACACTAGATTTTTCCAAAGCGTTCGATACAGTCCCCACAAACGCTTGGGAGAAATTCTCCAAACCAGTCCATGTTGAACTGGAATCAGGACTATCACATGCCACTCGAAAGGACACCCCCACCCTCTGGATACAGAATAGATTATTTTTAAAGAGTGGGCTAATAATCACTACTTGTTGTACTCCATTGCTCCATGTGCATCAATGGAGTGGATCTAATATTTTCCAAAGGGTATGACTGGGGTTTCGATGTCCAAGACATTTCAAAGGGGGGGGGGGGAGGTGTAATCGGCGCATAAAGGGGTATGGAATAAAACGTCCAATAGTGATTACATACACTCAGATCAATTCATATTTAGGATATTCCAATCATGTTAGTATTGAACACGGCTCAGTCGTGGGGGGGATTAACCACTCCATCAATACACCCCACACCCCCTCCCACCGATGAGGTCCATCCCTTGCATGCTGAATTGCATGAAGTTTCAGCCTACGAATAAGTAATAGCGCCCTCTTTCAGAATCCCATCTCCTCCATAAGCATAGTTACAGCCCTGTCTGCCTGTAGACCACACTGAAGCATTTTTTAAAAATAATAAGTGAACTTGTTTTGTCTTTATTTGCCCACCTGTCCCCTCCTCTCGTCCAATTTAACTGTCAGCCAATGAAATCAATTTTCTGTTGGTGCTTTGTTATACTTCGTTGTCCAAAAACCTATTTTCTGCAGGCGCGGTTCCAGAGCCATTATTTTTTTTTAAGGGGGGGGGGGGGGCTAGTAGGGTGAATCCATATTTTTTTTCAGGGAGCCGTGCTGAAATGTAGACCCGTTATTTTCTCCGGACACTTAGGCCCATGAAAATCAATAGGGGAGGGGTTCGTGCCATATTTTTAATACTGAGCGCTGATAAAATTTTACAATCAGGCACACTGTATTAACCAAACGTGTACAAATGTACGCTTCTCACGAATATTTATAGAGGGGGAGACCATTCGCGTATAAGTCACATTCTCACATTTTGATAAATGAAATTTTTTAATGGAATTTTTTTTTTGGGGGGGGGGTCTAGCCCCCATGCAATCGCCACTGATTTTCTTATGAATGAAGATTTCATGTACCCAGACTCAAATTCAGTAAACGCCCTCCTATGATATGGATCTTGGGGCCCTCGTCAAGCTGGAGTCGTTACAAGAATCCTTTAAAGTAAACTTCACATTTTTAATCAAAAGCCTGGCAATGAGATGTTTGTGAAGATGAGTTCATAAAAGCTAAAATCGCAACGGAATCTCGAAATTCAGAAACACGTTTGTTGCATTAAGTCATTATAACAAATTATTGAGCAAATGTAGAAGACTGATACTTCATAGTCTTGTTTCAAAACTGGATTTGTACTTTTCCCCCCTATTTCAGCCGGTCCCTGGCAGCGAGATCAAACTAACGGCGGTAGAGGTCGCATTATCGCGATGAATCAAGTCCAGTGTCGATCGGAGAACAAAATTGTAACGTCATAATATTACCCATCCAGCATGTTGGTATTATGATAATAAGCAAACTGGATAAGGGAGAGTAGTTTGTATTGTAGGAAGAATTCCAAGCAGCGTAAAATTAAAAGCACGTAATACACGATGGAAATAACATCGCAGAGAACACGGCATAAGTCTTTCCCTTGGAATCGCGGGATCGAATCAGTATAAAGGAAGTCATCATCCCGGGGATTGTATCGCAATCAAGTTGAAAATACACTATGGGAACGAGATTGCAAAAGTAAAAGACCATGTTCATGATGAATTTGTAATATATGAAAACAAAACCTTAAATGGCAAGCCACATTTTCTTTGTTTAGTTAATGATTTTACTAAGCGAACTCAATAGATATCATAATTCGGTCCTAAACATATCCATGAGTTGTCTACATAAATTCTCTGGAATAAGTTAACCCAGCTCTTACCCGAGTATCGTCCTTTGTCAAACGCCCGAGGAATCGTCCAGTAGTCGCAAGAATTGCCTCCCTCTGGCTCACGGTAGTACACGTGTACAATGAAAAATAGAACACACCACACCTGACACTATGACAAAGTACGAGAAGTAACACATTTACACAGAAAGCACAATTATAACATTCACGCAAAATCAGTGAACACCGACAATTATAAACTTGCCAAATATAATTTGTTTACTTGTAAATAATAAGGACTTCGTACACAAATAGCCTATTTGAGATTTGGCAGACACAATGTGAGGGCGCTGTTTGATTAGGGTAAAGTTTGTTGTATTTACCCAGACCAAATAGCGCCCTCCTAATGTTTCCACCACAACTCAACTAGACTAATACTGGAGACTCAACAGCCATCCCAAACGTGGCAGTCAACAACTATTTTGGTCGAGAGACAAGAGACCAGGCAACAAAACAACCCGCCATGCTTGCAAGAAGCCTTCGTTTAGTCAAGTAATCCACTTCACAAAGATTTTAGAAGTGGATCAATATCGTCACGCAATGAATGAGTCCTGCCTTGAAATTCAAGTGTTCATACAAAATGGCACTTTCCTTTTATAAATTAAAGCAGGTTAACGTTTTGGCACAAGATTTTTCCAAAGCGTTCGATACAGTGCCCAACAAACGCTTGGGAGAAATCCTCCAAACCAGTCCATGTTGAACTTGAATCAGGACTATCACATGACACGATACTATGCCCACTGTTTCTCTTTCTGTACATAAACAAGCCGAACTAATACTTCACGAGTGTTCGAAGAGATCAACGGCTCAATGTTTGCTTCTTGGTCTTTTCGGCCTGCATTGCAACTCCTCCACTCTGCCTAATAAAGACAATTAAATCGCCAAGGCGGGTGTTGTTATCAATTCATACAAATCCTTCCTATTTTCTCCAACATGGATGGCTTTACACAGTCAAGGGACGTAGTGCGTGGAAGAAGATTTGTCTTGGAGAAAAAGATTTATAGAAGATACTGCAAACATTTGACACAACCCGTTTGACAATTGGCGTGAACCGTGGAAAAAATACATTTATTAGACAAAGGTAAGTTGTTTCAGACAGTATGCTCTGCCCGTCGTCACGAGACAGTCTCCTGGCGATAGTCTTCTGATGTAGGGCACAGCATACAGTCCGAACAGTTGAGTACTTTCCCATTCTTTTCAGAAGCACACGTACTCCCAACTGAGAGATTTTGCCACATTTTGCCACAACTTAACTTGTTATTACCAATTCACCATGAAATCCTTTAAATCTCATCTGTACTAAGAGCAATTCATTTAGCACTCCCGCAATTTTATAAAATTAATGATACATGCAACAAAATAATCTACAAATAACAGGATAACGGGTCACTAAATTGCAAAATACAAGGTTATAAGCAAATTAATCCCGATGAATTAATCCAGTAATATCCTCAAAATAATGGTAAGACTAAGTGTTGATTATACATGCACTTTATCAGGCATTGCCGGTAATTGATTATACAGAGGCCAATAAGGACAAGTAGTGACAAGTCCCAGTAATTGCTAAAGGAAACAAAAGTTGCTAAACAGCCGTCATTATATGCAGCTTAAATGTCATAAAAGAACATTTTGTTGGGTATTACTTGGCACACTATAGTATGTACTTTGCTTAGGCCTAAATAGCGCCATTTATTTACTGAGCGAGGTGTTTACAAAGTAAGCAGAGATTGTTCTCAAATTGTCAAGTGTTCTCTCTCTGGCGTATTGAGAGGATCGCTTGAAGTGTCTCAGACGGCTGTGGTATTTTCTTCCACTTACACCACAACATCGGCCGGAGTACCTTCTTAAACTGGGGGTGTTTGACTCCATAAATGATGGGATTAACACAACTGTTGCAGATCAAGATGGTAGCGCCGTACAGAGCGAGCACATCACTGTTAGCAAAGAAGAGTGAGATGTAGTACGGCGAGATGCAGAGTGTGAACGCGCAGAAGACCCAGAAGAGGTTCTTGGTAATCTGGAGCTGCTGACGGCTGATTTTGCGCTTTCTTGCGGCACCTTTACGCTCCTCGCGTTCCTCGAGAATCTCAGCTGAAGTACCGGTAGTTGATATGGATGTCATACTGGTTGCATTGGGCTGTACGGCATCAGTGGCTGTGTCCTTGTTATGTGTCTTGGAGAGTTGTTTGCTGAAGTGTCGCCTGACATGGATATAGATGACGAGATAGCTGACGACGACAGTGGTCATAGGGATCGGGTAGAATCCGATGGTTTGGGCCAGGTTGTAGTCATCAGCACGAGGATGTAAGTCATCATCTGTACAGGTATCGTCTCTGAGATCAAGACCTAAGCTCCCCACACCGATAGTGAGTGGAAAGATGATAACGAAGATCGGGATGAGCCAGGATAGAGCTACAATGCATGCCATCTTGCGAGGTGAGAAGATGCGATTGTAGGTGGCCAATGGGCAAGTTATCTTGACAAGACGATTCAATGCAATGAAAGCCAGGTTGTACAGGCTAACTCCTAGACCGGTGTGCCACATGAACGCCGCTATTTGGCACGGGATCTCGCTAGCCAGAGGCCAGGTACCATTACTCAGCAAGGCCACGCTTGACCAAGGCAGAGACAAGCAAGTCCATAGATCAGCCACACTCAGGTTGACCACCAGGACATTAGTAGTCGTCCGGACGTGCTTACTGAGAATCGCAGCTAGAATAACCATAGTGTTGCCTGTTATACCCAAAACAGCTACGATGACCCACGCGCAGGCTGCAAACACCAAAACGCCGTACGGGTGAAGTTCAGAAGTTGGCTCACTGGTGGAAGTAGTGGTTACATTTTGATCTTCAAAATTCTGAGCCATGGTGGAGTTCAAATGATCGGGGTTTGGTAAAGTGTTACAGACACTGGGCAGTCAGTCTTAGGCCTACTGTTTCACCAGTCGTACGTTATAATGCCGTCGACAACAGAACGAACTGTTTGGGGCAAACCAAGTACGGAAATACAAGTCCATGCCAAAACCAATTCAGACTTGGCCTGAAGCTGTCTGGTCATACCACAGTCTAGTCATTAAGATATGTACAGTTTGTCACACTGAACGAGAAAACCATCCAGGAAATAAGTGTTGCCGGTCACGACAGCCAGCATTTCAAAACAAAACAAATAGAACCGTGTAGGCGTCGCAAATTTTATTCCGAGTGTAGGCCTATTTATTATTTTTTTTATTGCCGCATATTTCTCGCTATTAATGTAATATATCGTGTCCCGTAAATTCGTTATTATCATTAACTATCCACTTGAAAAGGTAAACCAAACATGATTAAAACGATCAACGTCAGACACAAATCAACATATTATTGGAATTTCCCTTATTTCCCATCATTGGTTAACAAACACACAAAATGTAAGGGTATTTGCTATAGTAAAATGGCAGTTTACCTAATGTGCACAAAGCCCCGAAACCGATCCGGCCGCTAATGCAATGACATGCAATTACATAGTTGATAATTGGAAAACTAAAACTTACTTCCTCTTTTAAGTTCTCCCTAATAATCGGCCAAAGTCCACGTCGTCTAATTGTTGTCGAACAATTGTTTTAGGCTTAATTGCTGTATTTCAAACAGCTTTGTCAACAGAGCTGGGCACAGAAACCTCTTAGTCGAAATGAGTTTCTTGCTAAATTTTCAAACGTTCTCCTCACCTCAAAAGTTCCAGTTTCAGTTTGGTAGTCGTAGATACAGGGGAAAAAACCGGAAACTTGCAGTGCGAATCAATGAGGACCCCTCCAATCCCACCCTATATAGTCTGATTCCAATATCACCCGTTGTCCATCCAACGCAGCTTTCTCCGTATCCAACGTCTGATATCATCTGAGCAATGCAGATTATATGCGACTCCGCGCCCCAGCCAATCGGAGTCGATTTTTAAAACTGTGACGTATTTCGAGCAGAAATAATGGACTAAGTTGTTGATTGCAGGGACTTTTCGACCAGGGGGTGGGCTATTGAATCATCCCCCACTTCTTCGTGATGCGAAAACTAAAATGGGGATTTCGATGTATTTTAGAACATCCCGATAACCAACATGTTTTCAATCACACTAAAAAGGAGAGACAAAAAAACAAAAGCTTTTAAAATACGCCGTTTTAACGTAAGCGCCAGTATACATATTGATATACATCTATATCCTGAAAATATAACACATACTAGTGCAATTGGTGTCCATTCCCCCCCCCCCCCCATTCGCTTTTCAAATTGCCACGGCCAGGCAATTTTTTTTAGGATTTTGGTCATCCCTCATCCCCTCCACTAGCCGGCACAGATTTACGCCACTGGATGATTGGTCAATTTTACTGATTTTTTTTGTAATATAACAACCGTACGGGTTACAGACAACCCAATACATGGAGGGCGCCCGCCGAATGGTCAGAATCTCAAGGTCAAGATGACGGTCAAATTTTGGATAATTACTGACCTAATCGGCTCGCGTAGACTTCCGTAGACTTGAAGACAAGTCGTTAGAAATTTGTATTTTGTCTATACTCGCTGTGTATCATGTTTACATTAATTCCTAGCCTCTGCATGTCCAACGACTTGACAAGTAATACATTTGGACGGTTATTCACTCATGCGCACAGCGAATTGCATACACACTACGTTTTCATAGAGATGGCCAAATGACAACCAATCAGAGTTATCCATTCAATTTGTAGGGAGTTAAGGTGTAGTTGAAAGATGACATGTTACCTCAAGATGCAGCCCATCAGCTTATGCTCCGCGGAACACCAGAGACTAATGCATCTACGGTCAATCCGTATCTGTCTGTGTCAGCCGTATGTCAAATCCTCACTTGATACATGTAATGACACTGCTGCTCGTAAACTTTGCCTCTCCCCAATGCACTTATTCGGTCAAGACACTGCAGGATCGGTACCTACATCTCCGTGACTGGCCACTGCTTCCGGTTGATAAAGCTTGAGCTATGGGCTCAGATCACGTCGACCTCATCTCTCAAGATCACTTATTTGGTTCGGCCCTATCGGGGCGCCGGTAGCCAATCTTATAAAGTTGGGTTGGATTCTCCGTGGATCGGCTAGCATCTGAAATCAGAAGGGTGGTAATAAAGTTGCTTTAGACATCCGACCTGATGAGACACGTTGAGAAACTTGTAAGTTGAATTGGTTCCATGTATCGACGAGAATAATGCTGTTCGCTCTTAGCATGATCAACAACCAGTGCAACTCCGGGAAGAAAAGACAACCGTTTACATAAGTGAGGATTTTGCGTTTTGTTACATCCCTCTTAGGAACTGATGACACCAAGTTTCATGCTTCAAAGGAAGCTGTTCTTCCGACCCTGGGTAGTTTCAGAAATGCGCCTGTCAACATAATCTCAGCTTACCATGGCAGAAAAACATACCGAACTGATGCAGAAGCTCGTAGATGTCACGTCCAAATTCTAGCAGCAGAAGATTCCGCAGGGGAACCTTGGTGTACTGCTGCGTTTCCGGCAACATACCCTACGCCGTAGCAGATCTCTCTCGTGTAGCACATTTAGAGGGGTGTGATCTTTTGGTAAAACGATGACTCAGAATCTGTTTATTTGATTAAAAGTTTGCCTAAAGGTTGGGTATGATGGGCAACACATGCCTGTTGGATATTTAGAGAAATTGAAGCGTTCATCAGCGTCGATAAACTTTGGTTAAACGCAGCAAAAAAATCTACTATTATACTGAAGTCACGGGTCAGTCGTGGGGGGGGGGGGGGGAACCACTGCCACTCCCAGATAGGGTCCAACCTTGAATGCTTATAATTCTGCCTACGAATAAGAAATAGCGCCCTCTTTCAGTATCTCATCTCCACCCAAAAAAATATTTTACCGCTTTTTCTGCATGTGGACCACGCTGAAGCATTTTTCATTATTAAACGATTTGTTTCTTTCTTTTTGTCCACCTACCTGTCCCCTCTTCCCATCCAACTTAATCGCAGCCAGTGAAATCCATTTTCGTTTTGCACTTTTGTTTTCAAAATGAAACCTAGTTTCTGATGAATGAACATTGTATGTACCCAGCATCAAATTAGGAAAGCGCCCTCTTGTTTTATGATTTGGTGGTATTTTATCTATTCACGCTGCGTAATTGTTATTCCGGGGATAGTTAGGGCCAAATCATCAATAATTCAGTACTTTCGATAATGAATAATGTTTATTCATGAGAGCAGAACAATGACATGAACAACATTGATTTTATTTAGTCAACAAGTTACATTAAAGCCATTTTAAGAACGGTTGTCGTCTAGCTATCACACGGCAGCCTATAGTGGATAGCGAGATGAGCTATGACAAAAAGATCCCTGGTTCGAATGCACGTCGTCGATGCTCATTTTCATCGACTCTTTTCCTTCTTCAAACTTATCGTTGTGATAATATGAATTTAAAGGGCAAAGAGAACAAAAGGCTATGTCTTGCAATGATTCAAAGGAAAACCGAATTATTCATGACATTGCCCCTAGCAGTCCTGGGGGAAAAAAACTAACGCATCCAGCCTCAGATTCAAATAACGCCTTATTGTGGTATGGTCTGGTGACGTTCATCAAAAGCAGGAGTTGTTATAAAATTCCCCAAAGTTAACTCTATGTTTTCAATGAGATATCCGTCAAGGTTGAGATCACGCGTAGCTAAAATTACATGGGATCGTAAAATTCAAAACATGTTTATTGCACCAATACATTATCACAAATTACTGCACAAATGTACAAGACTGAAACTTCGTAGTTTTCTCCCAAGACTGGATTTTGGAGTTTGTTCCCATGCGTTAAAAGTTTGATTTCGCCACGGCGCTAGAAGTAGCTCTCCGTATAATAAATCAAGCCCAGTCTGATGGAATAACATTGACACTGGACCCATTGACACTGGATCCATTGACGACTGGACTCTGGACAACTTAAATTCTTGTTCAAATACACATTGTCAAGGGGTGCATGACTATGTTCCCCAATACCGATGTTCCCTTTTACCGATGTTCCCAAAGTCCTTACCACAATTATTACCCTAACCCAAACCCTAACCCTCACCCTCATCCTAAGGATTTCGGGGAACATCGGTATTGGGGAACATAGGTATTGGGGAACATCGGGTAGACTCCTTGTCAAGAGCTCTCAGGATATGTGTAATGGGCAGTGGATATTTGTGCACAAGTCCATTACTTGTGCACAAGGTGGACTCTGTGATGTCTAGCAGATTTTCGCAAAAAGTGAAAAACGGATTATATTTTTGTGTGTGTAAACGAACTCTTCATATACACAGTCAAAGAGAAATATGAATTTTAACACATTAGTCCTCAGTAAATTAAAATAATTTTTGTAATAAGCGAGTCAGTTGAATATCTGTCCAGGAATGTTTAAAAGAAAAGGAAAATTTCTCAAGTCTTTAGTCATTTATTGATAAAACCCTTTGGGTATCGGCCCTTTACACACAATGAGTAATAATGTGAATCCAGGTGAGTTGTGAAACATTACAAACTTACAGCAGAATCAACATCGCAAACCCATGCAAATCGGTTAATTTCACATCAAATCATGCATAGTTGTTAACACAGGCGAGGATCCAGCGGGGGGGGGGGGGGGGGGGTGGTCAACCCCCAGCTCTGTAAAAAAAAAATCATAGAAATTCCTAACAAAATAATGCAACCCCCCCCCTCCTGCGACTGCAAAATAATATCCGCCTGTCCACACAATACGGACAGAGCCAGCTTGGTTAGAGTGTATTTGTACACTATTCTGTAATACAGTGTGAATAATCGTCGGATTTGAAAAGCACCCCTATTGAAATTATGGTATGAGCCCCCTCCCTCCCCCCACACACACTAACACCTTTTGATTTTACTGAGGCCAAGTGTCTGGAATAAAAAACCCTGTCTACATTTCACTGATTTTTGCTGATTAACCCCCCCGCCCTACACACATTCCTCGATCCCCCCTGTAACACAATGTACCTCTGTGTCACCTTGCATTTCCAAATGAACGCCAATATCCTAATGACTAAACGGGACTATATTGTATCAATTCTCAAGTTACAAGTGAAGCGGTCGACCTGATGGCACTCAGCATTGCCACTCTTGAAATTTGGAAATCTCAGGATGACCGCAGTACATTCCCAGATAATCCCAAGACATTCAGATTACATGATTTAAGGCAATCTTACCCAGTTCGATTAGAAAAGCAGCACAAAACACCCAATTGTCGAGAGGCGGTTGTCCTCATAATGCATACGTATATAAACAATAAGTAATTGTGACATTTTTCTCAATGTTATAAAAATAAATCAATATTGAGCTTATAAAGTGCAAGAATATATTTTTTTGAGTATGCGTAATCCTTTAGAGGGGCCTCGTAGCCGAGAAGTTAGAATGTGAAGCTACGGAGTGGAAGGTTGGCGGTTCGAATCCTATTCGGACCAAAAACTGGAAAACTCTCTCTGACGACCCAACAGTAAAATGGGTACCTGATTCGTTCAGGGAAAGTAAGACAGCGAGAGGAGAGGACTGGGCCCCGCCACTCATATGCCGCGCCCTAGACACAGTGGACCTCTAACATCCTACGGCCAGTAATGGCTATGGGATCTTTACCTTTTTACCAATCCTTACAGTTCCTTAATTGCATTTTTGGCTTAAAAACTTTAAGCCATATTCATTGTTCCTGCATGAAGAATACACATTCTGGCAAGCATCTGCATAAAGACTGGCTCGATGTATTTTCCAGGGACACATCCTAACACTAGCTCCCCACTTAATACATCCACACTTCATATTGAATAAAAGGTTCATATTGAATAAATATTCCCAAGTTCGCAAGCTTAAACCCAAATTCCTAAGATCTTGGGGAAAAATCCCAGCCTCACAACTTTACCAAGATAGTCTCATCACCTGTGACCTGTCCATATAGCCAGAGCTTGGTATCACCTGATACCACACACAGTGCTGGGGGGGGGGGTAGAGTGCATAAAAAAAACTAAAACGAAACTCAAATCTAAAATTGGACTGAATTACTCTGTTATCTCTTTGAATCGCCGAGAAGATGAGCCTGTGTGGAACAGACTTACGTCGCAATCAAATCATTATCAAGATAATTGTTGTTGGTGTGCGTAAACAAGTCAATTAACCAGGAGAAACTCCAAAATATTGGAGTCAAGTATCAGATAATTGATGTAGATGTTTAGTTTCAGATAATCAGCTAATATCTATTTTGTGATAAATTTAAGGCATTGTGAAATCCATGAATAGCAATCGTACGTATTCAATCATCACAATGTGAAAGAGCACATGTAGTTTTGAGAAAAGGGGGTTCATCTTAACCTGCAAAAAAAAAATCAATACGAAAGGTTAAAACTGTTTTAAACCTAATTCCCAAGAACGGTGGGTTGTGAGGATTTGTTTCAAGTCAACCTCGTTTCCATGGTATCGAGCAGTATACGCTCGCACTGGCTGCTCTCTCCCCCAGCATGCACTAGGAGTCAAATGGCCCGGTAGCTCTATAATACTACTCCGCGAGTCGATATTTGTTTTGTACGGGATGTGCATTTAGTGGTCAGACAGAAGCAATTCCTTGTGGTGTCAAAATAGAAAACACACGAGTCTGTCTAAGCTCAAATACGGTGATAATACCTATCGAAAATTTAGGGTTACTGCACTAAACTTGAGAGAGAGGGAGAGAGATTTTGAGGTGGATTTTTAACTCATTCAGAATTAACATTGAAACACGCAATACAATTATGGCTGATTTGAAAGGTTCTGGCGTCAAAGTTTGGGACATAACCTCAGGGGGTCTGAGCGGACGTTTTATTAGTCTGGTTCCGTGACCTGACGTTCACATTACGTCTTGCTTGGTTGCCTTTATTAGCTAACCCGTGTACTCTCACTAACCTAGTGTTGTTTAATAATCCTGACGGCATAATCTGTTCCCTGAGTAGGGTCGGTGAAGAATTTACGTAACACGGATGCGTTTTTTTTCATACAGAGAAGCTGACAAATATGGCAGCCGGACGGTGGGAAATTTGGCAAATATCAAGTGTACCAAAAGGTCAATGTTATTCAAAAGATCATAATTTATTCATGTCATTGTAGCTTCAGAGATTATTGTCTATCCCGACAATGTTAAGTTTTTGTTTTACAAATGACGGAAAAGCAATCGAGCTAAGTTACAATTAGTTTGAAATCGGCGGTTTACACGGCTGCGGTTTTTTTCACCGCGCCGTGTGAAGCGCCGACCATTAGGCAAAAAAAAAAGTCTCCGGTTTCTAGTATGGAGCTTGCCCCAAAAGTGGTGCGGCGACGCGGCTTTTTTTTTTTTTTTTACCTGTTTTTTTTTTTTTTGGGGCTTCAAATGTCGGCTGATGACTGCAAATGGTGCCCGACTAAACTTAGTGCAAATATATGGGAGTCCAGAGAGGCCACATAAAGCTTATTCTCGATCATAACCCCATCTAAAAACACGTTAAAATTGTGCAGCAGCAGGATTCCAG